AAGTATATAGTTATATATATATATATATATATATATATATATATATATATTAAGCACTTTTTAATAATTTTATATTGATTATATTAGTAATAATCTAAAATGCTTATTTTTTATTTAATCTACATTTTTTTTAATTATATGTCATAATAAAATTTCTTACACAGTAGCAAATATGTAATTATTGTGATCTGTAATATCTTGTCCAATAGAATTAGATATGAATAAATATAGGATATTAACAAATGCACATATTAACGGTAATAAAGCTTCTTTTAAATTTTCTAAAGACGATAAAATCTGAAAAATCTGAGATACAAATTTTACGATTACATTTTTGTATTTTAATTGCTACAATTATTATATTATTTTTTATTAGTTTTTACGTAGCAAAACTTAATTTAAGATAATATTTATACAAAATAAAATCTTATTAGTAAAAGATATAAATGTTTTCTTATTTAACATAAATTTTTTTAATGTATATTATAAAATATGTTTGTTTAGAAATAAACATAAGAATAAAATATGAAACTTACTCGAACAAAGTTCAAACATAGAGAAATTACAAAAAGTTCTGCTATACAGAAAAACATTATCTCAAATTTGGATAGCAAACATTTAGATAGTCTTCAAAAATAAGAAATTGTTATTATTGTTACTATTGTTACTATATGTAGAAATTAAATTATATTGATTATACATGTATGATCATATTAATACTAACTTCATGGCTTGTCGATGAATATCTACAGCATAAATTAAACCCTCAGATCGTAAAATTTTATTTTTTATAGTAATATTTTGCAAAATATTGATTTTCACGGCATGATCAATCCGATAACTATAAATAATATAACTTTTTAATAGTATTTTCTTATTTTTACTACTTTTGAATAAAATAAATTCTACCTCTATCTAAAATAATAACAATTTTATAGGTAATTCAATTTTTTGTGATATTTTTATTTTCGTTTTATACCTGGAGATTTTGAACATTCCACAAATAAGTTTAAAATACGCAATAAGCATTGTTCCTGTTGCCATCATTGAGAATGCTCCTATATAAAGTGCTGTGATTCCATGTAATATAATAAAAAAAAATATTTTCTCCGATCAACAAAGTACTCTATTAAAGATTGCATGTGATATGGTTGAGAGAAAGATATATTTATTGATGTAACATCAGACACATTTATCAAATATAAACCGATAGTACCAAAAGGTATTACACAAATTCCGACTACTAGAAAGAATCAGAAAATAATTATTATTTCAATTTCTATTATGCAATGTCTCAAACATTTTATGACTTACATATTTGCATATGTCACAAATTATTAAAATTTTTTTAGTTTAATTATTAATTAACATAAATTTTTATTAATAACTATTTACAATTTTTCAACTTAGGAACACATTTATTACTTATTATCATATAAAAAATATACAATGTATGCAAAGAATTTATTGTAATCTATAAAAATTGATTTCTTTCCGTTAAAAGTTTGGCAGTTTATATTTTATATTTATTAAAAGATGTAATTGTACATAGAAATAAAAAAAAATCGCTTTACCCAGAAGTGCAGCCGTATAACATTTCGCTATGTAGCCATACTTTTCTATGATAGCTATTTCATTGCTATCTTTTATTGTGTTACATATATGTTGAAGTTTTATTAATAATTTTTTACCTAATATTTTCAATAATTTTATATATTATATATTTATAGCATTAGGAAATATTTTTTAATATAAAATTTATCACATAGATAACTTTGTTATAAACTATTATCTTGTTATAAACTATTAACTTACGGCTTTGATGTTAACACGGAAAGCATAATATTTGATCATAAAAATCATATAAAAAGATACAGAAGACAAGATTCTGATGACGAGTTCTGTAGTACATTTTAATGTCATAAATATTGTCAGCTGTAATTATTTATTTATAAATTATAAAATTATAAATAATTATAAACAATTACAATAGATAAGTTGATATACGTGTATTAATAAAATATTGTTATATAGTATTTTACTATATAATATTACTGTCATAACACATTTTCTTACTTGAAATATAATATATGTTGTTAAAATAGAAAAAAGAAAAAAAAATTGAAATTGAGTGAATCTGGATTGTTGATAGGGCCATAAGCCAAGAGCAAGTAGCAAAATTCTATTAAGACCAAAATATTGGGTTTCTAAACCAATCATTCTAAACAAATTCTAAACAAATCATCACTTAACTAAGCCCAAGACATAAATGATTGTGAAAAAAATCGACTAGAATATGCCTATCCCCTCCATTCATCGATCTAATATTCTATAACTTCTGTTTCTTAACATAAATTTCAACACATTATATAATTTTCTTAAACGTAGAGACTGATATCTAATAGTGCTATAAGTGCTATAAGATAGTACTTGCTATAAGATAATACTTCTAATTCAATAAATTTCTTAATAAAAGATTTAGTCAAACTATCAATTTGATGCGAAAAGAAATTTAACAGACATTTTTCTTCTATAAAAGCAAAGTGTTTCTAAAAATTTTAATAAAATAACCCGATGTTACTTATTTCCCGATGTTATTTATTAATACCGCAATTTTTCATTACTTTTATTCCCATATGTAAGTAACATTAGGTAAGTTTAATTTTTAAAAGATATGTCATACATAAATATTGTCATATATCAAAAAAATTAAATTATTGTTGTTATTTAACATTAAGCTTTAATATTAATATTGATTTTATTTCTATTTACAAAACATATTTTAAAAAAGACCAAATATATTCTGTTTTTGTCAGATTCCAATATATTAATTCTTTGGTATTATACATATGTGTGCATATATTTAGCAAAAATATTTATTATAACAATAATATTATTACAAATAACATTTTCAATGATCGATTTCTTGCAAAAATCTTAATAAATTAATTTTTAATATTATTATTATGTATTAATTATTTAGAAAATGGTGTATCTTAATGGAATAAAGACCAATATTTGCAGTAAATTTCTCTCGTGCCTTAATAAAATTAGAAAGTTAATCTTCTTTTTGCGATTTGTATGATTTTGTGATTTGTATGATTCGTGATTCCCTAATAGGAAAGATGTGTCAAGATTATCCTGTCTCGGTTATACTCGCGCAACGCAAACAGATGTCCTGGCGACGGGAGGGCGATTCTATCAGGGTTGCATCTCTCGCGAGCAGTTTCTCGTGCGGGGTGTAGGCGCGTGAGCGACCTGTCTGCCTCCATGCATCCTTGATCCGGAAATATGCTTCGCGTTTGAGGCAATTACGGGCATTAGCGTGGGTACCGCCGCGGCTTTAATTTGACTCGCATCGGTGCTTTTGAACTTCCCAAATATGATTATATGACGTTCCCTTTATGTCGACAATCATTTTCTTCCTTGTTATCGTATAACAACGGCATATCTGAATGTATATTTCACATTATACACGCATTATAAAAAACACGTTATATAATAAATTCTATATTTTATTAATTCTACAATATTATAATGTAATGATGTTGTTTTACAAAATTCTCGTAAGTAGATATTTATTATAAAAGAACTTCCAGATATTTAAGTTATGTTACTTTAATATAATTAAATAAAATTACAAATAAAAGTTCGATATTTGATCGTTTAAAGTAAGTTATAACATACACATGTTATAACATGTAATATAACTCAATTATTTTTAAGCAAGCAAAAAATGATTATTTTTTTTAGAAAAAAATAATCAGAACATTTGTTATAAATAAGAAAATTATGTGAATAAATTATTGGAATAAAATTATAAACAGCGATAATAAAGAAGTGAACATAAAAGTCGACTTTTGACTTTCGCTTGGGGATGATAGCCATGACTCGAACTCTAAGAAGGCTGACGCATCGTCTACGTCATCTTTATTTGTGTCAAGAATGGATTAAAGAATATTGTAAAATTATTAAAATTTTTAATTTTAGATACAGGTAGGTCTTATGACAAATTTATTAGTGAATCTATTCCTTTCTTTAAAAAAGCATGACATCGATACTCGCATCTCTCGAAATTATTGTTGCCGCTTTTCCGCGATGCCGATTGGTTCTCTCGCTACGCTAACTTCAAATAATGAACTTCAAATAATGAATAGCTGTCATTGTATTGATCTCACAGAGAATCGTTTTGACAATTGTATAAAGAAATTAAAAATATTATAATAGTATTATAATAGTATTATATTAATTTTTGCTCTTGTGTTGAAAAAAATAAAATAGCGCGCGCGCAGCGCGCGTTTGTAATGTCTAGTTTTAAATAAAAAATAGATTTTATATATATATATATATATTTGAAATCCCTATCTAAATTTAATAATGATAAAAACTATATTATAAATTAAGTGTGTTATATGTTTTTATTTTTTTTCGGCATTTTTGTCAGAAAAAGCTATCACTCGAAGTATTGACTCTGTTCAAAAATTAATGAAATTGGATCAATTGATATCAACATGAGATTTAAGAAACAAATCAAATTTTGACATAGATTATTCATTTGAATAATTTTTGTTTATAATTTAATTAAATGATTAATATATGCAAATATTTAATTCTCTTAAACTGAGTTTTTAAAAGTAGAGTTCTTATTTTATTAGAAAAAAATTTTCGATTTTTATCCATTCATATTGTTATAAACTCTAGATCACGTAATACCGTTGTTCTCATTATTACGTAACGTTATACCATCATAACCATCGTCATAATTGTTTATGCGCGATGTTGTACGTTGTGACGTCGTGAAGATGAGATGCTTTGTGTGCCAGGATCGCAGAATTTTCTAGGAGTGCACCCTGTTTCCTACGTTTCCCGTTCTTTTTTTTTTAGCTTTTATGAAGAGAAATATACATTATTTTCATAATATTATCCTCTGACTAAATTTAAAAGTATAGAGACAGCTTACTAATTTGTAGTTCGGACACATCTATCTTGAAAAAAAAGAAGATGATTAAAAAATTAAAATAATGAAAATGTGATTTAAAATGTGACAAAAAAGGATATTAAATATTTAGTTTTAAGAAAAAAGATGTCAGATGTATAAAAAAAACCCCAATTTTATTAAAAGAGCAAAAATAATTCATAAAATGTATACACAATGATTAAAGAATCGAGTGCTTTATATACGTTACAAAGTGAATAGTTATTCGTTTTTTTTTTCTACGCAAAGATAATTGTATTTATGAGATTTTTAAATGAAAAAATATGTAGGCTCTGGGGCACGTATATTATCAAAGATGCTTGGGTCAGGTTCATCGTCGGGATCAAATTCTATATTCATTGGATCGATTATAGGAAGATATGGAATCCTGGGTTTCGCAGATGGTGCTGGTCTCATCAGACAGGCCTCTAGTTTCTCTCTCACACATTTTTTCTCATCCATCGCATCAATTATAGTCGCAGTTTCTCCCGCATATTGCATTATAGCTTCTATATTTTTTTTGTACTCCCAAAGCTACATATAACAAATAACAGGAAAAGTATTTAATATAAAATTTAAAAGATGTGAAATTTTTTTAAATATTCTAAAAACATATTTAAACCTAATTTTTATATAACATATTTTTATATACATATGTGTACTGTATATGTGTAAAATAATAAATAAATTAACCAAACAATAAATCAAACGAGTCATATAAATACAATTTATATTATACAATCTAAAAAACTGATGTTACTAAAGAATATTATTTAACTAAATGTTACTAATTGTTACTAAAATATTATTTAATCAGAAAAGACAAAAAAGATTTATAATTTGCATAAAATGTACTCAAGAATAAAACAAAAACTTTTATATATCTTAAGTATCTTAAAGAATATTTTACGATAACTACATCTTGTTTAATAATGTCCTCATAATCCTTGGAATAACTATCCAATTTACAATATGAGTCCGTTATGAAAGATTCGCATGATGTAGAACTGTGCTCGCTTCCAATAATACTGTCGTATTGATGATTTACAATTTTTTCTCCGCATATTTGAGTATTTATTTTGAGAACAATTACTCTGTGAATATTTGTGGAAACTACAATTATTAAAATTATGTTGAATGTTTGTGAGGTATACCTGTTGGGTGGTGTAGATATCATATCTAGCAATTTGAATTCTTCTACGGTATTAGGATAACCGATCAAAATCCATCCTCTTTTGAGACAATCAGACTTTAGTACATATTGCTGTCAAACAACAATGATGCAGATGATAGATGATGCAAAATTAATTAAAAATTTCCTAATAAATTATAATTATACTTCGATAATTTGTATTTGCGCTTCTGATTTGAATTTCTGTACACATCTGTGTTCGCATAGTCGCAGCATTTCACTCAAAGCCGTTTCTCGCAAACATGCTTGTTCCAAAATATAATTAAAATCAACTACAAAAATATATAACATATTTCTATTCGCTTAAATTATTAAAAATATTTGTAATTTTTAAA